AGCGCACTCTTTCTTTTTTAAATTTTTTTTTTAACGTTTATTTATTTTTGAGACAGAGAGAGACAGAGCATGAACGGGGGAGGGTCAGAGAGAGGGAGACACAGGATCTGAAACAGGCTCCAGGCTCTGAGCTGTCAGCACAGAGCCCGACGCGGGGCTCGAACTCACAGACCGTGAGATCATGACCTGAGCCGAAGTCGGCCGCTCAACCGACTGAGCCACCCAGACGCCCCAACGCACTCTCTTTCAAAAATAAACATTTTTAAAAGTTGCATTTAAAAAACTCTCCCAAGATGCTTTCAAAGCTCAAATGCTTTAAAAATGTCAATTGTAACCCTACTGTAAACCCAAGTCAGCATTTCTCTGCACAAGAAAGTCACCACAAGTAGACCCCAGTGTGGTGTGTGTGTTCAGTCTGTGCACTGTAGCAAAGAATGACATAAGCAATTTGCTCCTTCAGTACAAAACAGCAAGCGAGTACTGACTTGTAAGTTCAAATTTACAAATCTGTAATTCTACCAATGTTCTAATTTTTTTTTTTTTTTTAGCATAAAATGACTTCATTTTACAAGGACAAAACAGAGCACACACAAGCCAAGTTCAGCAAAATGTAACCTGGCACGTTTAGCGACGTACATGCTTCGTTAATTTAGCACAAACACTGATTCATTTGGTCGTTATTTTCACAGTCAAATCAGAGGTTCCTGGGGCTTGCAGGCGGGGGGCAGGGGGGACGGCCTTCTCTCCCCACACCCCACCGCCCAGGACGACCTCTGCTCTGCGCACCCCGCCCCGCAGCTCCTGTAACAGCTCCGTACTGTTCTAGGGCTCATGCCAAGATGAGTGTTGGGGAGATGCTCCTCTAAAGCCGGCTGCCTTAAGGGGCGGAGGTGAGCAGAGCCAAGGGAGAGACGGAAGGACAGAAGAAAGACTGGACTTAAAATTGCTACTAGGTGCCACCACCACGGCTGCAATTACACTAGATCAAGGCCCACATATGCAATCCCAAGGTCCTGGAAAGCCTGGAAGGCTATTTCAATTCACTTGGGAGAAAAACGCAGAAAAGACCAGCCTTGGGTCTTGGGCACCGGACTACTCTGCGGGGCTCCCCCAACTGCCCGAGGGCAGGGCCCGCTGCGCACCCGCCCGACAGTGGGGGCTCCTTTCACACCGTGTCCCCGAGGAACGCGGCGGTGCCGGACCAGGGCCGAAGCGGAGGCCAAGCCCGTCTGCTCCTCCTCGCGGGGGCTGGCCCGCGACCCGTACTTGGGGTCCCTGCGCGCCAGGCGCCACGTGTCCGCAGGGTCCCCAGCGGATGCGGAGACGCCCGAGGCCGGTGCGACACCCTTCCCCGTCTGCCTCCCACGCAAGAATCTTCCCCACGTCGGTCGCGAGGAGGCGCCCGCGGTCCGCAGTCCCGGCCCGGGGACGTGCCCGCGCCCCCCACCCGCCCGCCCGGGAACGCGCGGGCGCAGACCCCCCCAAAGTGGAAAGGTGACCTTCCCACGCGAGGCGCCAGGGCCACCGGGCACGTGCTGGCCCTGACGGCACCTCCGGGAGGGGCACGCTCGGTCTCCCGGGCCCGGCGCCTGGGAGGCGCGGCAAAGGCGTCCCACCGAGGCAAGGTCCGAGGGGGCGGACGGCGTCTGCGCGGGGCTCCGGCTGCGTCCGCCCGCCCACCACTAGCCCCAGTGGCTCCCGGCGTCTCCCGCCCGCCGGTGACCTCCCGGCCCCGCCCGAGGTGCGGTGCGGAGCGGTGACCTCGGTGGACAGAGCCGGAGGCGGGTTCCCCTCCGGGACCCCCTACTTCCTCCGATACCGCTCTTCCTGCGGGCCAGGCGGGGCACGTTCCTGCAGCAGCCCCGGAGCGAGCCGCCTCTGCCCCCGGGGCACTGTCCCTCCGCTTTCCTACCTGGGTCTCCGGGCGCGCGGGGCACGCAGCGCTGCTCCGTCGGTGCCCGCCCCTGGAATGGGAGGTTGGCCTGGCGGCGCGGAACGCCTGCGGAGGTTGGACTTTCTCTCCCTGCCGCTGGCTGGCTTCTCCCCGCCCCATCTCCCCCCGCCCCAGCCAGCCCTGCGGACACCCATCCCCGATCCCAGTGGAAAGCCCCCGCCCCCCTGCAGTGACCCGTGCTGCATCCCCTTGGGTCTGTGCCAGAGCTTGGCTTGCCCTCCATTCTGTGTTTCCTCTACGGGGGGGGGGGGGGGGGGGGGGCACCAGTCACCACCCCGGTCCCACTTCCTCTAAGCCATCCATCTCTGTATCATCCCGCTCCATGCTCACCTTACATACAACACACCTCTGCGTCCAGCCGTCCGCCTCTTCCGCCCTTGAATTCTGTACAGACAGACCTCACTTTCTTGTGCCTCCTTGGGTTGTTGGTTTGGAGGATTGAGGGTTTTTGGTTGTTGCGTGGTTTTGTGTTTTGGGGTTTTTTGTTTTTTTGTTGTGTTTTTTGGTGTGTGTAATTTGCTTGATTGCACTTTATTGCATTTTTTACAAAGTGAAGGTTTGTGGCAACCCTGCCTAGAGCAAGTCTACTGGCCCCGTTTTTCCAACAGTATTTTCTCACTTCGTGTCATATATTGGTAATTCTGGCAATATTTCAAAATTTTTCATTATTATATGTTATGGTGACCAGTGATCAGTGGTTAGGATGCCCTGAAAGTTCAGATGACGGTTAGCATTTTTCATCAATGAAGTCTTTTTTAATTAGAAAAAAATGTTTTTTTTAGGGGCACCTGACTGGCTCAGTTGGTAGGGCATGCAACTCTGTTTTTTCTTTTTTAAATATCTATCTATCTATCTATCTATCTATTTATTTATTTATTTATTTATTTAGAGGGGAGCAAGGCAGAGAGAGGGGGAGAGAGAGAATCCCAACCAGGTTCTGTGCTGTCAGTGCAGAGCCCCCTGTGGGGCTCAAACTCACAAACTGTAAGATCATGACCTGAGCCGAAATCAAAAGGTCGGCTTAACCCGCTGAGCATGCGACTCTTGATCTCAGGGGTTGTTAGTTTGAGCCCTGTGCTGGGCATACAGTTTACTTAAAAAAAAATGCTTTAGGGGCGCCTGGGTGGCTCAGTGGGTTAAGCGTCTGACTTCAACTCAAGTCATGATCTCACCGCTCATGAGTTTGAGCCCCGTGTCAATCTCTGTGCTGACAGCTCAGAGTCTGGAGCCTGCTTCAGATTCTGTCTCAGTCTCTCTCTGCTCTTCCCTCGCTCGTGCTGTCTCTCTCTCTCTGTCTCTCAAAAATAAATTTAAAAACATTAAAAAAAATTTAATTAGTTTTTTAGACATGTTATTGCATACTTCATCGACTACAGTATAGTGTAAACCTAAGTTTTATATACTCTGGGAAACCAAAAAATCTATTTGACTCACTTTATTGTGATATTCGCTTTATTGCAGTGGTTTGGGGCTGAACCTAGCGTATCTCCAAAGTATGCCTGTTCTTCAGCCACAGCTGTTTCTCCTCACACAGGCTGCTGTTTGCTACCCTCCCAGCCAGCTTTTCACACTGCCTAGAATGCACTCTGAAAATCCACTCTACCTTGCAAGCTACTACTCATCCCTCAAGGCCCTGACCAAATGTCACCTCTTCTAGAAGCCTTCCCCATACCGTAGCAGGCAGAATTGGTGCCCGCCCCGCTCCCTCAGTCTCTGTCCCTGTCTGCTGTAGTTTATGGTGCATCACTCTGTGGGAACCCGAGTCTCCCTGACTCACCTTGTAAGAGGCTGAGGACAAAACTTGCCTCCCCATCACCTGTGCC